GACATCTTTTTTTTTTAATAATAAAGAAATGTACTTTACAACTTTGCATCTAAAAGTTATTAAAATGAATTTAGAAAATATCGATAATGAAAAATATATTAATAAATATTTGTTTGTTTATTTTATAATATAATTATATATAATTTATATGCATTATAATTTTTATTTTTTTAATTGAATTATATTATATTGTTTAATACTATCAATTATTAATTTTATTGATTTTTTCTTTGAATTTTTATATTTTTTTTTTTATATTTTTTATTTTCTTTTATAAAAAAAATATATATTATATTTTTAATATTTCTGAATATATATTATTAAATTTTATATTCAAGAAACAAATTAAACATGATATGATATAATATTTAGTATAAATTTATATTATTATCGATCCATAATTATGAATTAACATCGGCTAGATAAATGTATTAGAAAATCAACGTTTCAAGTTCAGGGACGTATTTAAATATACAAGCCTATAATAAAGTAATAGAATTAATTTTATATTTTATATAATAAAAAATTTTATAAAATAAAGAATATTTAATGTATATTTTGTAATTAATTATATATTAATTAGTGAATATAATATAAAATTTGTGTATTAATATTATTTATTAATATATGATATAATAAAATTTAATTTAATAAAATGAGAAAAATATATAAAAATAACAAAATATATAACAAGTATTTATTAAGAAGCTACACAATTTTCATGCAAAATGATTTTTATGTAAATTTAAATATAAAAATAATAAGACATTAAAATATATTTAAAATCTTAAAAACATTACAGGATTGTGAGTAATTTAAACGTATATTGTGCGCCATAGAGAGTTAGCGCGCTTAATTATTAACAAGACTGTATGAGCAGCATCGATGAATGAATCCTGTTGCGCAGACCGGTAGCTTTCATTGTAAAAGCGTCGATAGCTACCATATAGTCAGTCAGTTTCACGGGGTGAACGTCGATGCGTGAGTTTCGCCAAATATTCTTTTTTGTATTTAGACTAAGAATTGTAATTAAAGAGATTGTGCGATATGATAATATTTGGACAATATGATTAGTGTTTTTATTAATGAAGGTATGCTAAAGAATATGCAAAAGAAGAGATGTTTTCGAAACGAAAGCGACGGTCGGTAAAATCTAAAGGGAGCAGGCGTGGACTGCGAGTTCAAGTCGGGCGTGGGGATGAACTCTACGGGGAATGCGAGAGGGAGGAGGACTGGGGCGCTTCCTGTGGTTGGCACTAGCCTAAAAAAGCTCCATAAACAGAATCGCGGCCGAATGTCTTTTCAATGCAACGAAAATGGTGAAGTGTGGGAAAAAGTGGGCATTGAGTAAAAGCTTCGACAGCTCGAATCATGACAGAGGCGTCAGAGGAGTAAGTAATATTACAATGTCTGTCGTATTTTTTGATAATTCTTTCGAAACCTGACTATGTTCATGACTATGGCTTAAATTTTGTATTCCTTGATCATGTTTGCAATGCGGCACTTGACAGTTCTGTCTGATCTCATCTTATTCATTCTCCTGTCAACATTTTGCATATCTATTAGTTTGCTTTAAGTTCTTCAAATTTTTTATATTTGAAACAATTCTTTCTTCTTGAAAATGTGTCATATTCATTGTATATCTAAAAATTTACACAAGTAAACGTATGATTTCGGTCAAAGTGTTGGTGTGTTATCCTATGTCCGTGTAGGGGTGACCGTTCATTCATTAAATCGATGTCAGCGCGTAACATCTGCTATCTCGTATATAACAGCGATTCTTCGCTTTCGCATATATGTCGGTCTTGCGCGTTTTTAAAATATCTTTAAAGTAATTTCGATCTTATATTGGTTCCAAATTTTCTTATTAAGTAAGAATTTGTGAATAAAATCTAATTTCTTATAAATCTTGTTTAATAAAAATATATTTTATATAATTCTATAATATTATTATAGAATTATAGTTAAAATTAAAATATATCATATAAATCTTCATGATAAAGTTTTTATTTTCCATTAAATAATAATATATATGTGAATCTTATTTTTTTAAGTTAATAAATATATTTGTATTAAAAACATAATAATTTCATAAATCAATTTTGTAATGTGAATTTATAATATTAACTTTTTTTCTTTGGCATTTCATTTTTAGTGGTAACTATTTGGTGAGGGTTCGTGCCCAGGTAATGACAAGGGATGATAGTTCAGGTGGTTGGGTTCCTCTAAGTGGCGGTGGTTTAGC